ATGATTAGACGACTTTTGGTTAGCATTTTGTCATCTACACGATGTTCCTAACATAAGTGTAACATTTGACGAACATCGGTCCAATAGCTTCGAAGATTACCTATCTAATATACGCGGGACTTACTTTTTCGTGCTCTAGGGGCCAAGAAACGTCGAAAAAACATAGTAGACATTCGTCGGATGGATCCTATTGCAGTACTTCCTTAGCTTACACGGGGAAGTAAAAATATTACTCCTATATATCTTCAGAGATCGAAATAAAATATTTGAAATTGCGTATTTGTTTGTCTTCCAATTGTATTTTTAATTTTTATTGAATTTATAGCGAATGCTTTATAAGCACAGTGCACAGTACAGAGATCATAATAATAATAATAATAATAATAATAATAAACTTTATTACGGGAACACCATTATGACCATTATATCTAAATTACAAATATTAAATTAAATACACTAAAAATTAAATTAAATTTAATATCCTACCTAATGGACAAAATAGAGAAAGAACAAATAACAAAAATAACTATGATCTCTATATTGTGTTATAAGTCGTGTTTTAGGCAACCAACATTTCAATATGTTACATCAACAAGCTATTACAGATTTCTAAATAACGGATGTTTTGTTCAATTTTCATTCGAAAACATGTCGAGTAGATGTCGCGTAAGTTGTTTTCTTTGCAATTTTCTTGCAAATTATAAAATTAATCCGTGATACTTATTTTGTGCTATAAATAATCTATGGCCTATGGTGTCTTCGTTATGACAGGAATGGGGGTGGATACAATTTAAACTCTGGTTGAAAAAAAGTTTAATAAAATTTGCTGAGATAAAAACAAAGTGGAAAATGTATGTAAATTCTTGGTGCACCGTTTTTCTACGGTAATTTTATACTTCAGGAATGTCACTTAGGCAACAACCCTCCTGATAAAAATCTGCGCCAATCAACAAAAAATGATGTCTGCCACCTGGAAGTGGACGTAAATTTCGGGTTATATTCAGAAAAATAGTTGTAAGTTGTTTGTCGTACTTCAGCTATTCAATTAAATGATGACTGATGATGACGTAAAATCAAGGAGATAGAATGAGAGAAGAGAAAATGAGTCTAGTATCGTGCTTCCTGCCAGGGTCATAAATGGCTCTTCGAGATCCTCCATGAAACTGATTATTTCAGTGGCGTGCTGAAACCGTTTGCCGTGTCCTGAGCATAAAAAAGAAAAATAATTTAATAAGATAGAATATCTCGTAAATGCAGTAGCACCAAAATTCACGTGAGTTTTTTTGTGGCTAGAAATATTTTTGTTTTTATACCATAAATAAGCAAATAGTAAGACATTTTTACTCCCTATAAACCCACTTTAAACCAAACGGCACCGCCTCTGAACCTCTGTTGTTGATCGATCGCTTCCAATGGTACGGAAAGGGCCATAAATGGATCTTGCGTGGAGCTCCTTTGCCGGGATTTCTTTAACATTGGTTCAGTGCATGATGTTCAATGAGGCATTACTCCCTCCTGTCATTCTAGCTTCATGGGTGAAACAATTTCATAATGTCAGTTATATAGAAAAACTTATCCGCGAAATATAGAATATAGGCTACCATTTATATTTTCTCCTGCAACTTGTTTACTGTCATTAGTAAGATTAAATTTCAAATTTGTAAAATTACAGTTGGACCATTTTGTTAGATGACTTTAAAAAATGGTAATTTTTAAAATACTTAAATTCGTCATTTGAACATAACTAATCGTAAAGTACTTTTAATAAACATGGGCTACTATTTAAAAGTGAAAATACACGATGTGTTTAAGATGTGTTTAAGTTGAATTCTTTTGGCACAACGCTGCAGATGTTGACTGAGGAACATCATAGGTTTCTGCAGCCACTTTTTTTCTCTAACCGCCTGAAGTGCTAACTCCATATCTTCAGTCAGATCTTCATTGTTGTGTTTTGTTTTACACATAGCTGCTAAAGCATGTTTCGTGGCATTATAACTGCAACATCTTCTTTATTCATATTTCAACTTTGTGGTCAGTGATTAATTGATTATAGATTACTTCATAGTACACACATTTATCATTTATGTAGCCCCTATTATTATCAAGACATCCCATCGTATGGAATTTTTAGTTTAGGTTTGTTGTACTGTAAATTGCAAAAATGACTAGCTAGTTACATATACAGTAAAAATTTTCAACGCTTGCACTAGTTAAGTGTACTTATCACAAATGTCAATTTTTTGATTCGATAAGATATAAAAACCACTCGCTTACGAACCTACGTGTACAAATGTCCAGAATAGCACTTTAATACTTGTCGCAATAATGGGCACTACAGTTTTTCACATCTTTCTCTTCAGTAAAATCTTAAACTTTGCTTATATGTACTTTGCAGGCGCCTAACTGGATAGCTGGACCACGGAAAATAGTAAGTAAATTTGTAGCCCATATTAAGATCCTGGCTCATATTCAAACATTTTCCTCAATTTTATGTAGATCACCATCAAGTCAATATTTTGTCACGGTCGACGATTCCCATACATTTTATTTAAATTTATTATTATTATAGAGTAGAACCCAGATGCCCCTGTCAGCGTTTGGGAAACTACAAACTTAAACCGAGAGTCTAATTTGATGAATTAAGGGCTCAGTGGCCTTTAACTTTTAAGTTGTAAAATTTTATTGATATGCAACTAATACAGAAATATGAAACTGAAAGTGCATTTAAGTATTTATTTTAATACCAAACATTGCGTCGGTTTAATAAACATCAAAAATGGAGATGAATTTTTTAACATTATATTTTCTGATGTAGGTATACCGAGAGAGCAATAAAAACAGTATCAAAGATGACAATGGATTTTTGAAGGTTTGTCTTTAATCGTTGAAACTTTAACTCAACCTTTCAAACTGACGGTAATCTGACAAATCGAAATTTCTATCAAAGAAAAACCTTCAAAGTCTATGGCTGTTTTTGACTGTGTTTTTTATTGTTCTCTCCGTCGTCTTCGTTGATTCACTATTAAAGTCTCTCCAATCCCTTAAATGTGACATGTGAGGGCGCATACGTCGGGAGGGAAAGGAATCTGTAATGTCGGCTAAATGTCTGTCATGGTCTGACTTTTTGACACAATTTGCCATCATGTATTTCGGTTTTTGCTCGAAAAAGAGGCGACCAAAGTCACAACGCCATGGGCGTGGATGGTCTTCAAAGGGATATGCAGTAGAAAAATTTTTCTTTGAGATGTTTACATTATTATCGGAATGTGTCACAGGAATTATGAAGTTGCATTCTGGATCACGTTTAGTGCTTGCTGGGTAGCTTGAAGAAGTAGGAACAGGTAGCGGTGACTTGGAACCATGAAGGAACAAAGTGGGAACAGAGCCGGGTTTAAGTCTTTTATTTGAATAATAACAACTTCTCTCAAAAGTGTTTACCACAAATGTATAAATTATTGGCAATATTATCACCTGAAATGGTTTTAATGGCTATACATTCCCTTAGGTAAAAGATTCATGTTGAGGTACCTACTTGTAGCATTAAAAACCTTTTTGCACCACAACCTTTTGTTCACAGTGTTTGAAGCGAATCTGTGGATTATTTTGTGGTCTCTAGGATCCTTGATTACCCCACAAGCAGGTACAGAGCAATATTTTTTGGACATTTTGATAATATCAATTCAAGCACAAACTGTTTTGGCGCGTGACAAAACGAATTAATTATAGGTTCCTGTAACTCCCGACGGAGGTGACATCTTTTGATATTTTCCCTTTTGACAAGTCGGACGATTGTAACTAATTGGAGAGACTTTAATAGTGAATCAACGAAGACGACGGTTCTCTCGATACCTAGATTACCTACTAACTTCTACTTACTTATCCTTTTTTCGTTTCAAATTTCGAAATTTCTTGCTGAGACTACAGGCGTCAAAACATCTCGTTTTTTTGAGACTCAACGCTTGTACAAGCCTCTATAACCAACTTAATATGCTTCTCTACAGCTTGAGTGTGGTAAAGCCCTTCCGTCTGTCTGTCAATCAAAGAAAAACATCGCTACAAAATTGATTAAAAACATTATCAGTTTAATTATTTTGTTTTTTAATTAGAAAATATTGCTTAATTCAACATTTCAACTATTTCGCAGTTATGTGTTTATGTACGGCGTGAACAATCACTTGAACATCATCATAAGCAAATATAAATTTATCCTTGTCAAGTCTAAGATGACTAAAAATTTTTAGTTTCTGTTTAGCTTATATGTACCTACTACTTTGGAAATTTATCAGCTGGATTTTACTTTACAGCAGGTTTTCTATTATTATATAACATATTTTATATTAAAAAAACTTGTATGATAAATGAATTTCATCTGCGCAAGTAACTATAACTTGCGTAGTAAAAAAATAGTAAAATTATGTTCAGCTTCTTGCCAAATATAGATAATTAAATGGCATCCTTAGGTACAGGTTTACTTTCTATGCTATTAAGATTATAAACTTTAGTTAATACATTAAAAGGGTAGAATACATTGTATTAGCTGCAATAAACAATGAAAAGCTTGTAGGTACATTTTTATATGTTTAGTTTTCTTTTGTTTGAAACACATTTTAGTTCAATATACTAGTTTATTGTATTTTACACAAAAATCCAAATTTCTAAGCCAAAGTAATACAAAATTGAGATATAAATGGTCATAAATATGCCTGTGCGAAATACAGATAACAAAAAAAAGTTGTACTTTTGTAGTTGCCGGAAAAATTCCTAAGTGTAGTTAATGGCAGAAATAATTAAATATATAATTAGTTAAAAAAAATAGTATAAAATACATTTAATAAAATAAAAATAATAGGTGTATTATTTCAACAAGTCAGATCACGTTCATTCAATTGATTTATTCCGATTTCACTTTACTTCCTACAGTGACGAAATATATAAGGATGTACTCGTATTCGTCCATATATATATAAAGACGATGTTGTATCATCAACTAGTTCAGTGCCAAAATAATATCAAAGAACTTCACTAACGAAAGCAATAAGTTACTAACCACAATGAAATATTTTTTGGTAAGTACAATATCTTACATATAACCCTTAAAACCCTCATAATAATATTCATTTCGATAAGTTTACTAACCTTTTACTCCTAAAAAATATTTAGGGTAAGAAAATAACTAACGAGAAACTATTTTCTTTATTTCTTCAGAGTACAGTCCTTTTTCTGGTAGCACAATATTCATTCTCCTCCGGATCACAGATCGTATCTCCAGCTTTAACGCCTGTTATTTCTCGAAATGTGTTTACTCTGGGTGATGGTCTGGCAGCACCAGTTGCTCCAGCTCCTGGATTAGCGTACGGATTTCCTCCTGCACTCATACAAAACTATGCACCAGCTGTTGCTCCGTTAATCTCTCGTGGTGCATTTCCAGTGGCCCCAGCTGTGGCGGCAGCGCCTTTGCAACCATTACCAGGAGCTATATTGCCCACAGGATACACAGTTCCGTCACCAGCTCTTCCAGTGCCTTTTGCTCCGCAGGCAAGATCGATACATGCTCTAGCTCCAGCTACTTTTCCTGGAGTAGCACCGGCACTACCTCCACTGACGTTAGCTAGATAAAAATATTACTCTCTATTAACACGAATAGTTAATACTCCTAATGAAGATTAAACAACAAAAGTGGTGTGTGATATTAAATATTTTTTAAATGTGTATTGCCAACTGATATTAATTTGGAAATAAAATATGAAATCCAAAATTGTTTAAATCGAATGTATTGAAGTCAATATTGTTGTCTTACTCAAATTTATAATAAATCCGTTGCGTTATATGAGAGCAGTAGTTTTTTAGACAGGTCTTATAGATTCCTCGAAAAATTATAAAATTATTTTTATTATGATAACCTGTTTAAGTAAAAAAAAATTGGTCAAAGGTTATTTCGACAGAATTTCCCTCCTGAAATAACGGGTGTTCAATTGAAAAATTACAACATTAACAATTTTTTTTCCAAAAATCTGGATATCTAATGTGAAAACGCACAACGGATTCATACGCCAGACGCCACAAGCGCAGAAGTATCGTATTTTATAACATTAAAAATAATTACAATTCCAAATTTTGGAGATGACGTCATCTCATTGGTGGTGGGGATGATTAGCCAACTTCTGGTTACCGTTTTATCATCTATATGCTATTCTTTATCTTACGCTCAGGAAGTCACATATTTGTATACGTGTAATATCCTCGGTCAGAAATGATAACGGCACAGGTGAAAAACACAGAAAAGCACAACCTCGGTACGCAAAATTTTTTGCTTACGCTCGGGAAGTAAAAAACCTTTGGTACAAACAAAATATAGAAATTGTGTATTTTTATTATAATGTAAATTTCACTTGGGGTATTGGCGGAAATGAACGGAACAGACATTAGATTGCTGATTTATCTTTCATATGTGCACGCGAGTTTTTCTTTTTTTTATTTATTTCTAACCTACCATTTTGTGATGAAATTCTGGACTGAACAAATTCTGAAACATTTGACATTAAAAGTAGAACCTTGACCACTGTGGGTTTCGACCGTGACAATAACCGTTCAACCGAGCGTTAATTTTTATAGTACTACTATATAAAAGGATTGTGTTCTTCATATAATGAAAGCAACAACATAATAGTATTACCTGCTCTTCTAAGGGAAAACCGTACCTGATGTAGGAGTGATAATAAATTACTTAACAGTTCTTCCCAAAATTCCATTATGGTGTGTAAATATTGACATTTGACTTGCTTTGAAGTTTTAATACATTTTCGGAAAAGTTCATCAACATAATTGAAAACATGTTTCTTCATAAAACAAAAATGGTTCCATATTATAGCAAGGCCGTTTATATGTAACTCATTACACACTCGAGCACAATAGGAAAATATTGCGTACTAAGCGGAAAATCCGTATGTGTGAAAACTAAGTAAGTTATGAAATTCAGACATGGGATATTTATTTAGGAAAAGGAAAATTAATAGGACACACAATTATTAGAATCGTATTAAATTAGGAATATAAAATATTGCTGAAGATGAAAATGTTGACAAAAATTAATGATTGGAAAGGATTTTAACTTTCAAACATGGTAATAAACATTATTAATAAAATATACAAACCTGAATATTCAAAATAAATAAACATAAACTCACCTAGATGTGCTATAACATGTGGTGAATTTATAAGCATTATATGGTTTTTACTATATCTACCAACATGATGAAATCAAATTCACCGTTTTACTTTTCTTATAATTTTTAATTTTATTTTTCGTTAATATCGAAACTATGCTATATTTAGTCTAAAAGTACCTATATATTTATTTCTTGAAAAATAAAAAGTATTCAGAATTATAATTTTATACATATAATCCATTAGTTTTCAGTTTATAACAGCAAAATTATATCTTTTGTTGCTGACGCATTCGTTCGTAAATATTATATTAACCATAAGAAAAAAAAAATTGACAGTTCGGTGTTATTAAGTTTTTTCAGTGTTGTAATTTTTCAGACAGTTTCTCCCTGCTAATAACAATACTAATATTTAGAGTAACAGAAAGAAATATTTATTGTTCATTCATAAAAAATCTGTAAACATAGAAATAAAAAAACATTATTGTATTAAAAACGTAAATTAAAATATGATATAGTTAGGAAAAAAAAATAAAAACAACAAGTAAAAGAGATCTGCTGGTTGTTATTCGAACAGAATCATTTTTGGCCATCCAGCGAACTTCTGCTATGCAGCAGGCGTCCATAGGAAGTAAATAAATAGCTACTATTGTGTAATCGTTTAAACAATGCATGTTTATATGTCGAAAATATTATCATGCCACTTTTACACAACTCAAACATTACGTGTGTTTGACATAATCATACTGCAGCAATGTTTTTTGTTGTGACACTTGCTTTAGTTCAAAGCCAAAATGAAATTTAACAATGTTTTTGCTTTTAGACGAAAGTTGACTTTATATATTATGTTAGATATAGAAGATGTGGGTTGGGTAGTGATCGATGGATTTTGTCGCAAACATTGGGTACTTCATAACTGGAGCGACCAATGAGTGGAAACAGCTACTTCTCGGGGAAAAGCCCTGCCGGATACTTGAGTCACCCTTTTGTTTTCCGGAAAACTTGTGTTTATATCACTAAAGATTTTTTATGTCTCACTAGTGTTAGTCTGCTTTTCTTAAGCATATGTTCTTAAACACCCTCGAATGATAGATAGACATTGAAATATGCTGCAGGTCGAAACTGCAAGAAGTTGTCTTATGTTTATACAGGGTGTCCCAGAATTCGCGCCATTCCCGTGAATGACATGTTCCCTGTCCCGAACTGTGCCGTAATTCGCAAAAAGAATTGTCCAGGCTTTAACCGTGTGAGAACTGGAAGGCGATTAAGTTGACCAATAGAGAGGCTGCTTTTATATCCGAACGTTTCTATGTTCAAAGTTACCTATGCCAAGAACAAAAAATCGGGTAATACTAAAGTTGAATGAATTTTTTTCGAATCCCCCTCCGTCAACAAAAGGAAACAGAAGTGTGGTTATAAATTTAATCATTTTGACAATTGTTTGTCATAAACTGTCACGAAGTTCATCACTGCCCTGAAGAGACGCTTCTGCGCCAAAGATGACTGATTAATGTACACAGAGACGTCAAGGTTTACTTTAAGGCAAGTAGCATGGGACAGAAGTTATTTCTGCTGCCATTCTAGTTAAATTGTGTTTAACTGGGCTGGACATGTCATAAGAGAAGCTGTTTCATTTCATCGTAGGCAAATAATACACTTATTACTATTCTACATAGTGTAGATACCGAAGAGCAGGTATTAGAAGTCATTGTCTTAGAGCCCCGTGAATAATGTGCTGTTCTTTTAAATGAAAATTAGTACATTTTCAGAATTCACTATGCATCATGTCCCTGATATTAAGTTTATCGTTATTTCTAAAAAAGAGTACCACATGTCCATTCAAAGAACGTTATTAAGAGGACTAAAACATAAATATCGCTTTTGATTAATCGGTGCTTATAATTTTCAATAAACAGTAGGTATCAATTTTTACTGAACAGCTTTATTGTTGTTGATACCTAATCTAAGCAACGAAAAAAGAGACGAGACTCCACTTCTCTGGTGTATTGAGATCATAGGTATCTGCTGTGGTGTCAATCATGTGGGGGAGATACTGAAAACGGAGACTTATTCAAGAATAATATTGATGTTGCACATGATGATTTAAAATAGTTTCTTTAAAGTTCTGAGTATTTTCTAGAGATTGAAAAGATACGAATAAAAATTATAACAAAAATCGTTTAGTTGCATTTTTTTTTAAGAACAATACAAACTATAAACAAATCAGTACCAATACCACTAAGTTATTGATGTCTTATTCATACTAGTATAAAGAATATTTGGAAATGATGTTAATTTATGGAGAATGTAAACGCTCTGCAGCCACTGCTGTGAGCGAATATACAGGTCTTTTCCCCAATCATCGGCTCCTTGACCAGCATGTGTTTCGTCGTTTGTTGCATCCAGCAAAACAAGATGGATCTTTTCAGCCTATTCGGAAAGGCCTTCCTGGGGCTCCACGGATTATATGCGTAGACGGTGAAGACCAAGTGGCACAAATGAATTGATGCTCAAGATCGATCATGCATCGTATCCTTACAGACAAAAATCTGCATCCTTACTATTGACGAATGTGCAGCATCTGCGACGAGCCGACTGCGCGACGAATGCATGTTGCTCAATGGTTAATGCGACAAAATGACCTAAATCCTGATTTTTCACGGCACATTCTTTTCGCCGACGAATGGTCATTTTACCGAAAAGGAATATTTAATGTGCACAATTGGCACTTCTGGGCAAACGAAAATCCACATTTCGCTAACGTGAGAGCATATCAAGAGCAATACCATTAATCTATGGGCTGGAATCGTTGTACTGTAACGTTATTAAAGAGTGTGCTCAAAATGACCACCATTAACTTCAATGTAAGTTCTAGCTCGTCGAATCATGTTGTGTTGTGTATTATTTAACATCTCAGGAGTAACTGTAGCGTAGGCTTCGTACAGTCTCTCTTCCAGTTCTTCTAACGTAGCTAGAGGTTCTCTATATACCTAATTTTTGATTTGATTCCAGGTAACACAAACGGCCCCACCTAAAAAACCAGGAACGGAGTTTAGTGATAATTTTATCAGATGCATTAAAATTTTTACCACAGTAGTACCAATGATTCCAGCTCATAGATTAATAGTAAATCGCTCCTGATATGCTCTCACCCTAGTGAGATGTGGATTTTCGTGTGCCCAGAAATGCCAATTGTGTGTATTAAACATTCCTTCTTGGGAAAATGAACATTCGTCGGTGAAAAGAATGCGCCGTGAAAAATCAGGATTTAGTTCATTTTGTCGCAGTAACCATTGAGCAAAATGTACTCGTCGCGGGTAATCGGTTGGTCGCAGATGCTGCACTCTCGTGTAATGGTAAGGATGCAGTCTTCTCTCTTGAAGGATACGATGAGTGGTCGATCTTGAGCATCCACTCATTTGCGCCTCGCAGCGGACACTTCTCCTAGGATCCGCTTCCATGTTTTCTAACACTTGCTCTTCAGAACCTACACGTACATTCCGTGGAGCACCAGCACGGCCTTTCCGACTAGGCTGAAAAGATCCTTCTTCTCTTGCTCGATGTAACAATCGGTGAAACACATGTTGGTGTGGGTGCCGACGATT